CCAGTTTCAGTATCCGTACTACACCAGCTCCTACTGTTGGAACAATCCAGCCAGAGTCAAATCAATGTGTCGTCCTAGCCATGAGTGCATTCGGAAATCGGTCCAATATTTTGGCTGAGAAACAAGTTACCCCTCCCACGAAAGTCCGTCTAGGCCTTGCCTCTGCAACGTCTGTGTCCCTGTACGACATGATGACAGTAGTTGTAACGAAAAAGCAAGAACGACGGTTAAACGGCGCCCATCAATGTTATCTGCAATGCATAATGAGGGTTAAATGACAGAACCACGTAAGGAATGACTTTATCTATTCCGGGCACAGGTAACCTCGGCAAATGGTGAGATTAAAAAATGGAAGTTATCCTTGTTAGGCAAACTGGTTGAGCATGCATCATCACTCCAACTCATAAGTTTCTCGTGCGGAGGCATGACAGTTGTTCACTAGAAGGCCAACATGCAACACGAACCAGCAAGGTAGAAACAGATCTACTTTTTTGAACAAATATATCTTTTGGCGATGCAATAATTGGTGCTTTATGGCAATAGTGTTGAAAGGCTGCGGATAGGGCAGACATCGCAAGCCAGAAAGGTCCTGGTCATACAAGCGGCTCATAGTAATGATCTCAGCACAGAACAACAGCCACTCATACCAGGGTTGAGGTCTTTGCAGTTGTCATGGCTCCGAGACCAGTGCAATATAAATTTTCTCTGTAGTTCTTCAACGCTCTATTGGAGATATATGCTTTCCTGTTTGCATTGTTCCAGACATGATCATCCAGAATTCGCTTTCTGTGTTTCGGGTGGCCACCCGGAACGTGCTTATCTTCAACAGGTCAGATTACGTAACCGCTTTCGCCGAGCATTGGCTCACAGTGACATCTCCCTAAGAAGCATTACCGAAGCTCACCTTACCGGTAGCGGCTTCCAACCTGTACATGACGCTGTCTTTCATCACTCCGGCGGATTGCAGCACTTGAAGAAAGTGGCACTCATCATCAGGCAGTCATTCAACTGGCCTGTTGTCTGCTTGCAGCCCGTTTCTTACTGGATAATAAAGGCTCACGTTTGCTGTCGTTTCGGTCGCCTCCCAAACATCGTCGCACGTGCACCGACAGAAACAGCCATCTCTGACTAGAAGGACCGACTCTACTAGCAACTGGAATAAACCTTGTTTGCTGTTTTCGTGCTGGTATTCAGTGAT